TGTTAGCCAGGATGGTCTCGATCTCCTGACCTCGTGATCTGCCCGTCTCGGCCTCCCAAAGTGCTGGGATTACAGGCTTGAGCCACTGTGCCTGGCCCGTTCTTAACCTTTTAACTCCACAGTTTCGGTCTGAGGCTTACCATTGCAAGCCAGGGAAAATCCCATTTCGTGAAAAATGCATTGCCTAAGTCACTTGCCTGCCTCCTCCCCACCTGCAGGCTTTTCTTCTCTCTTGGGGGACATCCCACCCTCGAACAACTACTACATGTATCAGCAGCAGCAGCCACCGCCACCTCAACAGCAGCAGCAGCAGCAGCCGCCACAGCCACCTCCCCAGCAATCCCAGCCACAACAGCAGCAGGCATCTGCCCAGGGCCCCTCAGCTGTAGGCGGTGCTCCTCCACTGCACACCCCAAGCCCGGATGGTTGTACCCCACCAGGGGGAAAGCAAGCTGGGGCGGAAGGCTATGGGCCTCCCCCTGTGATGGCCATGCATCCACCCCCCCTGCAGCACGGAGGCTACCACCCTCATCAGCACCATCCCCACTCCCACCCTGCCCAGCAGCCACCACCTCCACAGCCGCAGGCACAAGGCCAGGCTGCCATCAACAACACTGGCTTTGGTGAGTAAGGAGGGTGCAGAGTGATCTAGAGGAGGGTGGGGTGATGTCCTTGTCCTAACTCCGGCATGGAGGTGCAGTTCGTTAGGAAGTTAACGATGGGTCTTTTAGGCTTCGCTCCTTCATGTGGGCTAATCTGAGCAATGTTAGTACTTAGAGCTCTGTCTTATAGAATTCTTGGATCAATTGAGATTGTTTTACGTATTCTCCTGACTATGAGCCTGGCTGTACCTAAAGCATAGATAGCTTTTCCAGTCCTAAACCCCCAGGTGGGGAGAGTCCAAAACTTGGAAATGCAACTGATAGTCTGTATAGGTGCAAGAATCTTGCATGTCGTCAGCCTGGTATCAGTTGACTGCTGTCTTACACTTCACTCTCTCTTATTATCCACTTTCCCCTCCTCTTTACAGCCTTTCCTTCTGACTGGTGCTCTAATATTGACTCTTTAAAGGAAAGCTTCAAGATGGTGAATCGGCTCAACTGGTCCAGCATTGAGCAGTCACAATTCTCAGGTTAGTGATCAAAGAATGGAGGAAGAGAGGGATACACTGTAAGGGAAAATCCAATAGAAACTAGAACTGGACGGGGGTGTTAAATGAAGTTCCAGAATTTAGGATTTCATCGTTTTTCTTTCTTTCTTTCTTTCTTTTTTTTTTGAGACGGAGTCTCGCTCTGTCGCCCAGGCTGGGGTGCAGTGGCGTGATCTCGGCTCACTGCAACCTCCACCTCCCGGGCTCACGCCATTCTCCTGCCTCAGCCTCCCGAGTAGCTGGGACTACAGTCACCTGCCACCACTGGCTAATTTTTTTGTATTTTTAGTAGAGATGGGGTTTCTCCATGTTGGTCAAGCTGGTCTCGAACTCCCGACCTCAGGTTATCCACCCGCCTTGGCCTCCCAAAGTGCTAGGATTACAGGCATGAGCCCCCACACCCAGCCTCTTTTGACACAAGATGGATAATATTTACATTATTTTCAAGTTAACTCACATTAATCTTGTCTTAACTCACAATATGGCAGTGAATTATCCTAGTCCATTCTGTCTTTGGGAGAGAGAAGGCCCTCAGGAATTTAGAAGCCCTGGACCACTATTTTGTAGTTTTGTCACCACTTACTGATACTGACAGTGTGACCTTGGCTGAGTCACTCAGTCACGTTGAACAGTTATCTTACTCATCAGTAAGATGGAGATTATAAGAATTTGGTACACGGGATCAAGTGGAATGAGTGTGAAAATGCAGAGCTCTGAAAGATGTACATTGTTATTGTTAGTGCCTGTTATCAGTGGGGGTGATTGATGGTGTGTTTGGAACGGTGAGATAGGGCTGGGTCTGATAGGGGCTTCCTACCTCTGCAAGGTTTGCATTGCTTGCTTCCGTTTTTGTAGAACTGATGGAGAGTCTACGACAGGCAGAGCAGAAGAACTGGACCCTCGACCAGCATCACATTGCCAATCTGTGTGACTCCCTCAACCACTTCCTTACTCAGACTGGTCACGTGCCCCCTCAAGGGGGTCCCCACCGCCCACCAGCCCCTGCCCGTATTGCTGACTCCTGTGCCCTCACCAGTGGCAAACAGGAGTCCGCCATGAGCCAAGGTACTGCACAAAGCCAGTTGCCATGGAGGTGGAGACTATGTAGAAAAGGAAGCGTAGCAGAAAGGCAAAAAAGAACTGAGGGAAAGGATTTTCTGGGGCAGCGACCCAAATTGAGCAGTGACTGAATAGTTTATCAGTGACTGAGTATCTGTTGAATCAGCGAAGTTGTAAACTGACAAATGCAAAAGAAATAGACTGTATGATTCCTTTTTAGACCTCGGTTTGGGAGATCAGAATTACTTACGAAAAGGGAGGTTAGAGAAAGGCCCTATTTTAAATTTGCGTCTCAGTAATCCCTACCTCCGGGGTGATACCAGATGAGATGGTGGTTCTATACTTACGTGATCTTCAAACTAGTGAAATGAGAGAGATGTCATGATTATGTTCCTGTTTCTTGCTTTTTTTTTTTTTTTTTTGAGATGGGGTCTTGCTCTGTCGCCCAGGCTCTGGAGTGTAGTGGTGTGATCACGGCTCACTGCAACCTTGACCTCCTGGAGCTCAGGTGATCCTCCCACTTTAGCCTCCTGAGTAGCTGGGACTACAGGTGTGTACCACCATGTCCAGCTAATTGTTTTTGGTATTTTGTATATAGCTGGGATTTTACCATGCTGCCCAGGCTATCTTCAAACTCTTGGGCTGAAGGGATCTGCCCACCTCGGCTGCCCAAAGTGTTGGGATTACAGGCATGAGCCACCATACCTGGCCCTATGTTTCTATATTTTTCATTCTTATATCTTTCCTATTTCACAATTGTACTATCCATTTCTTTTTACCCTCAGTGGTGAGGACTGACAGCTTTTGCAGAAAGCCTTCATGCCTGCAGGAGCTACAGAACAGGGCAGGGAAGAGAGAAGGAGGATGGGAGCAAGGGTATATTTTTTTCGTCCCTGCTTTGTTGAGTACAGTGACCCCCCCCCCCACTCAAGTAACTCTTGTCTTGCTTTGGCAGTGAACTCTTATGGGCACCCACAAGCTCCCCACCTCTACCCTGGCCCATCACCAATGTACCCAATCCCCACCCAGGACTCAGCAGGATACAATCGCCCAGGTAAGAGCCAGGAAGCTTGTTTCAAAACCGTTGTACTCTGATGAGTTGTTTTGCTTTCCTTTGACTCTGAGCTGGCATTCTGTGCATTTTTGCCTGCATCTCACAGGAGGGAATGAGCCTTTATAATTCCCAAGGCTGGAGGATGGGCTACCTGCTAAGGAGGTATATGTCAGGGGAGACTAACGAAGACAGATGTCCCTTCCCTTCCCCTTCCCTTCCCCTAGCCTTCCCCTACCCTTCTCCTTCTCCTACCCTTCCCCTTCCCTTCCCCTTTTCTTTTCTTTTCGACAGAGTCTCGCTCTGTTGCCCAGGCTGGAGTACAGTGGTGCGATCTTGGCTCACTGCAACCTCCACCTCCTGGATTCAAATGATTCTCCTGCTTCAGACTCCCAAGTAGCTGGGACTACAGGCCCACACCACGATGCCTAGCTAATTTTTGTATTTTTAGTACAGGCAGGGTTTTACCATGTTGGCTAGGCTTGTCTTGAACTCCTGACCTCAAGTGATCTGCCCGCCTCTGCCTCCCAAAGTGCTGGGATTACAGGCATGAGCCACTGCCCCCAGCTAGATGTACTTTCAAATTAGTAACTGCAATAGTAAAAGGAAGTGAAAGTGTACATATAAGCAAAAGATAGCTATGTGCAACATTTATGTGTGGCCTTGGAATCTAGATGGAAGACGTGCTCAGGCAAATAAAATGAATTTGTTATCCACACATACTTGCTTTGTGCCCATGTCTGCTTTCCTGTCACCTGATCTCCAGAATCGGGGGTCTGGGATTGAACTATCTCTGACAGTGGGGGGTGGGGTAGGGAGACACTAAATTGCCATAGACAAAACAAAATGAACAGATCCTTCACATTTAGACACGTATAGAAAAATCACTGTTATTCTGCCTAATCACAAGTGTTTTCAGTTTTGGGGGTGACATCTGACTCTCTGAATTCTTTGTCCATATAATATAAATACAAATTTCTATACTATTTCATGTGATACTATCTTCTGTTTGTTTGAGTCAGAGTCTTGTTCTGTTGCCCAGACGGGAGTGCAGTAGGCAATGGTGTGACCTGGCTCACTGCAACCTCCGCCTCCTAGGTTCAAGTGATTCTCAAGCCTCAGCCTCCCGAACAGCTGGGATTACAGGCGCCCACCACTGTGCCTGGCTAATTTTTATTTTTTAGTAGAGACAGGGTTTCACCATGTTGGCCAGTCTGGTCTAGAACTCCTAACCTCAGGTGATCCACCCATCTTGGCCTCTCAAAGTGCTGGGATTATAGGCATGAGCCACCATGCCCGGCCATATGATATTGTCTTCTGTATGTTATTTTATCATTATTATATGTTTTCAGAAGTATAATTTTTTTTGAGATGGAGTCTCGCTCTGTTACCCAGGCTGGAGTGCAGTGGCACAGTCTTGGCTCACTGCAACCTCTGCCTCCCGGGTTCAAGCTATTCTCCTGCTTCAGCCTCCTGAGTAGCTGGGACTACAGGCACGTGCCACCACACCCTGCTAATTTTTTGTATTTTTAGTAGAGGTGGGATTTCGCCATGTTGGCCAGGCTGGTCTCGAACTCCTGACCTTGTGATCCACCTGCCTTGGCCTCCCAAAGTGCTGGGATTACAGGCGTGAGCCACTGCGCCTGGCATCAGAAGTATAATTTTTAATGGCAGCATAATATTTAATTGCTGTGGAATGTGATTAGCTCTAGTTTATTTCCTGAGACCTCACTGAAATGGTGACCAGCAACCAAAAATAACTCCAGCTGATAAGGGCGATCACTTTGCACGGCTTTCTTCGTGGTGTTATCTGGGGCTGAGCACAGTCCTTCTAAATTGAGGGAACAGCTTCCCATCCACTCTCCTTTTACTCTCTTTCTTTCTTTCTAACAGCACACCATATGGTCCCTCGGCCACCAGTGCCACCTCCTGGTGCCAGTGAGGAGATCCCTGATGACTTCGACTGGGACTTAATCACTTAGTGCATCACAGAGTGTGGAGATCAGCCCAGGGCCGCATGGTGAAGTCTGGCAGTGGAGAAAGAGCAACCCCAACCCGTCCCTCCCCGCCGCCGTCTGTATATAGACATATATCCTCTTTTTGTTCTTTCTCTGTCGGAGAAGCCACTGCAAGATGCTGCCGAAGATAACCCCCTCTTTCCTGCCTCGTTCTGCTCTCTTCCTTCCTGTTTTTTCCTAGTTCTTTTATTATTATTCTTATATTATTATTATTATTATTATTGGTTATATACTGTCTGTAGTCTCCTGTCCCTACATCATGGATCATGTCCACCTCTTGCTAATTTAAAATCATCAGGCTGGAAGATGAAGCCGTGATAGCTACAGAGAAAAGTTTCAGACTCCAATTTACCTTTCTCTTGGAGAAACTCGATGCTGATCCCACCTTTTGGCCCTAAATTGTTTTTTGTTCCTGTCAGTTTCAGGCCAGGACTGGAGAGGCCACATTACCAAATAGAAACGGTCTGAAACATTACTTGGCAGCCAAGAATTTGGAGGTTTTAAAATGGTGCTAATTCTGTCCTCTGAGGTCTTCCTTGTCCCTTTATACCTTCAATCCTTACTTCTGGCAGTCTGCATTTCCTATCGGGGTGAAAGTGATGATGGTGGTGCAGGAGGGTGACAATAAAATCCTATTGGAATTGGAGACCTGGGTTGGAAGGGATGGAATATAAGTCAGTGTGAAACTGAGTGTACACTGCCATGTTACATCAGTGTCCATTGGCTTGTTTCGAGCGCATTCTGTAAGAAGATAGGATTGGTTTTAGCCCTAACTCTGCTTCTATGGTAGGGCATGAGGACAACTATTCAGCATAGTTTTAGCTTCTTGGAGATGATTCCAACCTAATTATTTTGGCCTTTTAAACAATTTTCTCTGAAAATTAATTGTGGCTCTTATTTGCATTTATGAATTATCTTCCTATCCCTTTTTCCCATTCAGCAAATATTAGTTTGTCCTCCTTTAATTGTTTGCCCACATCTTCCACCCATCTTTTTTCTTCCCCCATTTTCTGGGATTCTCAAGAAAGAGTAACCCATTGTCACTCTGAGTTTCATCATGTCCTAAGACATGATGGGAATCTCATTCCCACCTCTCATAGCGGAACCAAACCTTTAGTGTTGGTGGTAGGAGGATGGGGAGAGGAAAAGGGAGCTGGCAAAGAAATGGATAGGGAATATTTTAGTTCTTTAAATATATAGGCAGATGCTTCTCTTGGAATCTAGATCATCTGGCTGAAGCTTTTGCAAGTAGGCTTTGAGAGGTGAAGGAGATTGGTGGAGGTGAGTAAATAATCAGAGGCAAGAGTTCAGTGAGGGCCAAGGGGGACCCCCAGAAAAAGGTATAGAGCGAACTCATCTCTTTTACAAGGGGTGGCCATGACTCACCGTTGCAAAGTACTCAGTGTATATTTAATGTTAATTGTTGAATTTTAGTTATGAGAGGGAAGAACAATTTTATTTCTGTCCTTATTTCACTTGCTGAAAAGCTGTGGGACAAAATGTATGGAATAGACAAGGCCACTTTCTTTGTGATTTCTGCTTTTCATTCATATTATTTTATTTACCCATGATTTCCAAGAGATTTGGCTCTCTGCTCTCCTGCTTTTTTCTTTCATCCACCCCTTTCCTTTTTTTGGAAGGGGGTTATATGTGAGAGTTTATTGAAGAAGTCCAGTGAGGCTGAAGTAAAGGGGCAAGATAGGGCAGTTAACTAAAGAGCACTTTATTTCTTTGAAGCCTTTGTAAGAAAGAAATGGGGGTGCAAGTGGCTTGAATCTCCCATGACGTTGGAGGGCACTTAGTGGGGTTGAAGTATGACATAATATTTCCCGTTGGGGAAAGGAGAATTTCTCTTAGAGGGTGGCAAAATGCCTTTGCCCAGTGTCTCTATTTTAGGCATCTTTTCCTTCCTTATTCCTTCCAGTCAGGGTGTGTCCTACACATAACTTCCCATTAGTTCTCCTCAATGTTCCCCCTTTGTAAATGATCACTCCTCTTTTCTAAACCCTTTTCCTGTTCAGATCCATACAGGATTTGCAAGGGTAGACTGAATCATACATGCAAATGCCCCTTGTTCATCTGTGTCTTCTGCAAACTAGTCTCATGAAGAATTCTGGTGTGCAGCCAGGGTAGTGAAGTTTGGTTCTGGGACTGGAGATTGGCCATTTGGCCTCCTGAGATTCCAGCTCCCTTTCACCAAGCCCAGTCTTGCTACATGGCACAGGGCAAACCTGACTCCCTTTGGGCCTCAGTTTCCCCTCCCCTTCATGAAACGAAAAGAATACTACTTTTTCTTGTTGGTCTAGCATTGCTGGACACAAAGTGTAGTCATTATTGTTGTATTGGGTGATGTGTGCAAAACTGCAGAAGCTCACTGCCTATAAGAGGAAATAAGAGAGAAAGTGGAGGAGAGGGACAAAAGGAGTAATTATTTGGTATAGATCCATCCATCCCAACCTTTCTCTCCTCAGTCCCTGCTCCTCATGTTTCTGGTTTGGTGAGTCCATTGTGCCACTACCCATAATGCTTTGCATTGCTGCATCCTGGGAAGGGGGTATATGGTCTCACAAGTTGTCGTCATTGTTTTTTTGCATGCTTTCTTAATAAAAAAAAAAAAGAATGTTTACAGTTTTATCTTACTGGTAGTGGTCTCAAATTTCTTTTGGCCAGGGAAGGAAAAGAGAAATGTGAAATCATTTAGTTTTAGTTGGTCTTTATTCCTCTTCCACCTTTCACCACCAGGTTGAATTAGTTGACCCTGACATTTTTTGTGACATTGGTGGGAAAGAAGCATCAAAGGCACATCCCTAACATTCCTCTTTTCAAATGCTATCAAGTATGATGGAATATTGCGGGAGAGTCAGTCACCCTTTGTAGGTTAGTGTATGGAGTAGGCCCACCTTGCTTGCATTTTAGGATAGTTTAAAGATTTAAGATACGGCACTTTGGGGCCGGGCACGGTGGCTCACGCCTGTAATTCCAGCACTTTGGGAGGCTGAGGCAGGGGCATCACCTGAGGCCAGGAGTTCGAGGTCAGCCTGACCAACATGGTAAAATCCCATCTCTAAAAACACAAAATTAGCTGGACATGGTGGCGCATGTCTATAATCCCAGCTACTCGGGAGGCTGAGGCAGGAGAATCGCTTGCACCTGGAAGGCGGAGGTTGCAGTAAGCCAAGACTGTGCCATTGCACTCCAGCCTGGGCAACAAGAACGAAACTCTCTCTCAAAAACAACAAAAAAAAGACATTGGCTGGGCACAGTGGCTCACGTCTGTAATCCCAACACTTTGGGAGGTCGAGGCGGGTGGATCACGAGGTCAGCTGTTCGAGACCACCCTGGCCAACGTGGTGAAACCTCATCTCTACTATAAAGACGCCTAAATTTTTTTTAATAAAAACTAAAAATTTTAGTTTTACAAGCAGGCACCTGTAATTCCAGCTACTCGAGAGGCTGAGGGAGGAGAATCGCTTGAACCTGAGAGCTGGAGGTTGCGGTGAGCTAGGATCGTGCCAAGCGCGCCACTGCACTCTAGCCTGGGCTACAGAGTGAGACTCCGTCTCAAAAAAAAAAAAGAAAAGACATACTTCAGACAGGAGTTGTGTTCGCATCTGGGACTTCCTAGAGAAGATACAGTACAAAATAGTTACAGGTACTCACCAGGTTTTCATCAGAAATGAGGGAATTCTAATTGTAGGAATTTCTTCAGAATACATTTCCTGAGTAAATGGAAAAGAAAAGGAGTCCAGAAATGCTGATTACTCATTGTACATTAAATCTTTATGACTGTGTCAAGATTATTTACCTTGATAATCCTATGCAGTAACCCCAGGAGTTTAGGTCTTATTCCCAGAGTCTTATGGGATGTACTGGGGTTTCTGGAAGCCTGGCTAATTGCTATTATAGCAAGTCTATAGTCACTCACTAGGAGATTTATTTGCTGCATATTTAGAGATTGTGATATATTCTGAATGTGAAACAAAAGGATTCATGAATCTCTGAGCCTTGCGAGGAACCATGAGAAAAGCACTTATTCATATAAAATATACAAGCAAATTAATATATAAGCTGGAAAGGTAGCACCGCAAATTTTATGTCAGACATTCTTCAACTGAGAGAATTCCTAGTGATTTGTAATATTTCTGCATATACTTCATAAAATTTTTCGTTTTTATAAAAAAAAATTTAATCTTCACCTCAACCATTGAACAAATAATGTCTCGCAAGTCTAAAACATATCTCATTTTCTATTTTGAGAATACATCATTGTATTCGGTTTAGATGAAGCAATGTTGTGATACAAGCAAGCCTGAAATTTCAGACGTTTAACACAAACATTTACATACACAGAAAAATGAGAAGGTGGTAGGGAGTTAGATAATTTTGTTTTAAATGGAAGAGGGACAGAAGGAAAGCTATATAAATGGTTGGAGTGTATAGACAAAGTAGAAGAAAAATATGTGGTCATGAATGAATTAAAATATGGTTATTAATGAATATTGGGATGCTAGATAAACAGATTAAAAATATGGGGTGCTTGGATAAACATTTTCATCTTTCAAAACAAGAAGTCATTTTATCATGTCTCCAGAAAAGAGCAGCATAAGCACATGATTTAGAAACAACATGATAATTATCAAACGAAACATCTAAAATTGTGCAAGTGTTATCTCTGGGAAATGAGAGTGGGAGGAGCGAACTTTTGGGTACGGTGAAGTAGGAGACCTCATATTTCATTATATACCTTATTAAATTCATTTAAAACTATGTGCATATATTACTTTGGCAAAGAAAAAGTTTTTAAAAACCCAGAAGACGTATTTAGTAATTTTGGCATGCAAGTTGCCTGTTGTTATGTTTTAAAATGTGATGGCAAGCCTGGTAGGGTACTCAGTTGCAGAGAGTAGAAGAATTGCTGCTCCATCCTCCACCCTCTTTCTCCTTCCACTTGAAATGGGTTTCTTAGAAAGTATTATTTTGGAGCAAGAGGAAAGGAGTAACTAGAATCTTGTGAAATTAGAGGTTGTTTGAGGCACAAAGTCTGATGTGGAAGATTTGGAGGCAGGGGAGTAATAAGGAAATTAAGGAGCTTAAGAAGAGGAGTGGAAGATAGGTACCCAACTGGTAAGCAGATAGAATAAACAGAACTCCCCAAACCACAGCTTTCATAACATTTCATGAGTCAGTTTTTAGATGTGTTAGTAGTCTGTTTTCACGCAATAGATGCTTATTTAGTTGTAATAGTGGAAACCATATGTAATAGTGGAAATTTCTATGTCCTGTACCCAGGGGTGTGCCCAGTGACAGGCATCATTGCATAATTCTGTGCTCCAGACTCAGTCTCATGGCTTCTTGTCTTCAGAGGCATTTTCTTTCTGCACCTTCTTTTCATTTAAAACCATCAACACCACACGACAACAAAGCAGTAGAATATATGATCGTCTCTCACTCACATAGGAGAAGAAGAAATGGTTTTAAATGGAATCTGGAAGACTTAGACAAATGCTAAGGAAAAATTTAATGAGGGAAACATCAACAAACATTTAACATCAAACATTGAAAAACAGAGTAGATTCTCTTATGTCACCCAGCTTGCTTTAGGATAGAAATAGAACTAATTTTTACAATGATTTTTACATTTTGCATTAATCAGAAACGAGAGGGTTTGTTCAATGCACTTGCTGGGTCCTAACCCCTAGAGATTCCAATTCAGTAAGTCTGGGCTGGGGCTTGAGAATCTGCATTTCTAACAAGTTTCTAGGTGATGCTGATGCCAGTAGTCTGTGTACACTTTGAGAACAAAGGATTGATTCTTTGACAGTTTTTGAAGTCCCCTGCTCACCATATCACTTCATCCTTTCAGAAACGTTCACTGTGTGATTACCTAAGAGCCCCTGCTTGTTGGCTGCTCCGCATTTTCACACAGTTGTACTAATACTATTTCTCTCTGAAAAGACATTGTTTGAGGAACAGTGGGTAGAATGTGTGAGCTCCTCACTGAAGGCTGCCTCCAGAATGCTCTGAATGGACTGCCTTGCTTTCTTCCTAAAATCCTTCCCCAAGAGGGCATAAAGGAAGGGATTAAAGCAACTATTGGCAGATGCTAGAGCAGTGAATACATGATCCCAGGACATCAGAGTTTTCCCCAAGGGAGTTTCTGGGTCAGTAAACAATAACAGGACTCCAGAAATGTGGTATGGAGCCCAGCAGACAAGAAAGACGGTCACCACCACCACCGCCACTCGAAAGGTTTTGCCCTGAGACTTGGCGAAGCGGCCCCTTTGCATTCGGAGGACAATGAAGCTGTAACAGGCTATCATGATAACAGAGGGCAGCAGGAAACCCACCACTAGCCTAGTGATCGTTATTGCCACGAGGGGTGTTGACACTGGATTGTCATATGTGAATTGGCCTAAACTGTAATAATCCTGGAAATGTTGTGGTAGCTCATACTCGTATAAGGAATTGCTAGCAGCACTAGGGAACAGCTTTAAATGAGTAGATAGAAAAGCATCAGAGTCATCCAGTGGGCTAGTTTTGTGACCTTCAATAGGAAACCCACTGGGGATTTTAGGTGAGGCCACACCGGCAGGTTTAAATACATTAGAATACGGACTGTGACTAGCAGAGTCCTTAGGGAGTGAATCCGCAGAAGGTCTTTGAAACGTTTGAGGGTGGAAGGCAGTGGTGACTGTCCAAGGATGATCATTTGCTTGGAAAGAGGAAGGATCTAACCTATCATTCATTTCTCCAGGCAGCTGAACAATGTTTTCAAGAGACCTGTTTTCTAGTGGATTTCCATAAAAGTCTAGATAATCTAATGAGCCGGAGAGATCAAATTTGTAGCCACATTTACTATGGTTGTCTGTAGTGAAGATTTCCCGGTACACGAACACGGGGATGCACATCACAAAAGCCACCACCCAGATACATCCACAGATAGTGCAGGCCGTCCCTACATTGCGATGATTCTGACACCAGATTGGCTTGAATACCACAAGACAGCGGTCCAGGGTAACGGCAGTAAGCAGGAAGACACTGGCAAACATGTTGAGGACAATGATGGAGGGGATGAGCTTGCATAGGAACCTGCCGTAGGGCCACTGTCCCTGGAGAGCCAAGTGAGCCAGCGAGAAGGGCAAGGAGAGGCAGCAGAGAAGGTCCGCCAAGGTGAGGTGGAGGAACCAGACTGTGTTCACTGTACGCTGCATCTTCAGGCCAGCCACCCACAGCACCAGCCCATTGCCTGGCAATCCCAGTAAAAAAGTAAGGCTGAGAATGACCATGGAGAGAATGACTGGGGACTCATTCCACGGCTGTGAGAGTAGGTCAGTTGAATTGGTCTCAGCAGAGAAAGGCGCCATTGCTAAACTTCTGCAAAAAGATGAAAAAAATGTTAAAATGAATGGTATCTTTTTGAAAATGCATACATATTCTTAGGATTCTAATCTTCCCACATAAAGATGTGGGATCATGAAACCAGAAGGTCCTCACACTGTTTTAGTTTGCCTTCCTTCACCTCACACTGGACCACACAAAAGCATTCTCTGATAGACAATTTTATTTATTTATTTATTTATTTATTTATTATTTTTCAGACAGAGTCTTCCTCTGTCGCCTAGGCTGGAGTGCAGTGGAT